CCCCCAAGTCCAGCCGCACGCACACGGTGCACGAGTCACCCCCAGCTGTCACTCACTCTTTGTAATGGCCGTTGTCATCCCATATCTGGAGCAGAGTGATGTTGGGATCTGGCTGGCCGGTCCCTGTTCTGTTAAATCCGATCACCCCACCTCAACTAATTACCGACATCAATTATGGCACACTCCCCAGGGACGTGTAAATTAACCCCCACCAAAGCTCAAACTGTACGGAAATGACTTTGCCGAAAATGTGAATTACGAAAAAAGAAGTGAGCTTCATTGGGTCTCAGCTCAATACCTGCCCCTTCCAGGCCTTTTCCTGTCTAGAGGATCACCCGTAAGCAGTACCTGCACAGAGTCGCGGGGACCTGAACCTGCCGCAGGGGAGCCACCGTCGATGGTTTCGGGGGGCGAGACCACATGCCACGCCGGCAACGCGGAGGACGTCACCCGGTTACAGGCGCCATGGCGACGTCAGTCTCCGGTTTCCCCTCGAGTCGCTGGCCTCCGGCCCCCAAGGGCCTCGCTTCATTAACACTAAAATCGCGGCGCCTTTTCAGCGCCGGACAGAGGAGTGGGATCCTGGCCGCTGCCGCCGCGTTTGCGGCCTCCGAATGACGCGTTTAATCTCGATGAATGATTAACCACTTGCCGACTCGTGGGTAGGACCTATTAAAACCCACCCCCTCGATTCCCGAGCCGGTCGGCGTGTGGGCGTGTAGCCCGTGGCGCTCATTTCCAAGGAAGCAGCGATTCGGAGGGAATAGAATTAGCCCCCCCCCCCCCGTCACAAAGAATCCAATTAGGGCTGTTATACGCTGCAGCCGGCAACCCTGAAGCTTGGGCACCTAAATGGCCGGTATGTGAACAGAACAGACATATCAGGCTATTTCCTAACTTCAGGGGAAGAAAAGAGACGCCCCCCCATGCCGTCTCCTGGGGGGGGGTTATAAATAAGGGCTGAAAGGTACTGCTGACTTAGCCATGGCTGAATGGGGCTGGAATGGTTTCCATGGCAAACCGCAGGGGAGGATACTGGTACCTACTGCACCGGCAGACAGGAGGGGGGGTCTGTACATCATCGACACGCCGCTCAATCACAGACCACCCAACTCCGGCACGAGTCGAGCTGCTGCTTACATCAATTCCCATTCAATCACCGCTGGGAAGGGTTTCAACCCGGACAAAATCTTTTACCGTACGTTTGCCTTCAAGACCAAAGAGCATCACCATAAAACCCCATTCTCCTCGCTGCTGGGCACCCATTGTTTTGATTGGACATCGCCTGGATCGTACTTCCTCTACGCTGAGGGGTCAGGGGTTGGGGCCCCGGGGAAGGGAGGGCCCCCATCACAGTGAAAAAGAAGCGGCCCGTCCCTGCGGATGGGGCTACACAGACGTCACGCGGATGACCACCTCGCCGGCGTCCGCCTCGGAGTCCTGCGGGCCTGCCAGTCCCGCGCAGAGCCACAGGACGGCGCGTGAACAGCGGGAGGGTCGGGCGACCAGCTGGGTGGGGTGCAGAGCAGAGCCGGGCTGCAAGGCAGCCAGGGGGAGCCAGAGGGTCCTGCCAGAACCCGGGTCCACGCCGCCGCTGGCACCGCCGCTGCTCTCCTCCACGTCCGCCTCCTTATCGTAGTTCTGCACGTCCCAGTGAAGGTTCACCGCCCGCCAACGCTTGAACACCTTGTGCACCGCTGCCCCCTCATGGACAATCAGGCCTGCAGTACGATAGTGATGCAATGATTCAACTCGCTTCATACAGAATCTAGCATGTTGCCTCCTGACAAATGAAGCTCCCTACTCAAGTCAGTCAGAGGCGGGGGGGGGGGGGGGTGTTGGAGATCCCTGCAGACAAGGGGACTCAAACTTAATTCCAAAAAGACAGGAGTAGTCTTACCCCTCAGCTCCTTCAAATGCTGTTTTTTTTCCTCCCTCCAAATGACTAATTACTATGTAAATGTTGCAGTGATGTCTCACATATATTCATCATGTCTCATTTTGCTGCCATCTCAATATCTGTTTGTAGTAAAATGGGTTTAAACTGTGATGGGAGACCATGGGTGGGATTACCGTGTGCTGTCAATTACCAGTGTAGCCAATCAAAAGCAAAAGGAAGGGGGTTAAACCAATCAGTGATTGAAAGTCCCTGATAACCCCACCTACCACAGGGTCTCCCATCAGTAGGTGTGTGTCGAGGTAACCAGACCATTCATGCTCAACTTTGGGCACATTGGTCCCCCCAAATGGGCTGCTCACCAATGCAAACGAGGTCCATGAATCCGTACATGCCGTAGCAGATCTGGAAGAGCACATCCCGGCGCTGCCACACGGCGTTGGGGCTGAAGGCTGACCACAGCAACCAGGTGACACTGGACACCAGGAAGAGGGAGCCGAGGAAGACGGCGATGATCTGTACCTTCTCCACCAAGGTGATGGTGATAGCCTGCCACTGGGGAAAAGGCAGAGGTAATGGTCAGTGCGGAAATGCACGGAAAACAAGAAGTATATGGGAAACACAGAGTAAGCACAAAGACAGCAAACAGGAAGTGTACAGGTAATACAGAGGGAA